GTACAAAGGTTGGATAGTACTATCTGCAACTTATCTACTGGATAAGGATTTATCCATCAGATAGTGCTATTCACCCTTCATACAACCGGGCCCAGGGCTTAATAATGGCAGGTCATTGGACAATGTCCAATCAGAATTGAAACTTGTCTGGTCAAATCTTTGCCTTGCYRGTCATGATCACTTTGACCAGTAATGTTAAGYCAGAAATGACGTACATGTATGATGGAGCAAATTCTAGTTTGGGCAGTGATGATGACCAGCAACTAACTGTGATCTGTAAATCATTAGACCACATCTTTAACAATTTATTTGGTTGATAGTAGCTGTCTACTATGATTATTGTATTGCAATGTTTGTCCCAATCAGTGTGCAGCTTAAAATCTCGAATTCACCTTTTCGGCGCGAACTTGGATTGTGTTACGGTCACCAAAAAGTTCGGACATTGTTCTTGGATTCCCGTACAAATTCACTGACTTTAAAGAGAAAATATAGTAAGATTTCTTTAGTTAGCTCTCTTAACAGCAGTAGGAAAAGCTTCAATCAAGCTAGAAAAATGATCATTTACTTGTAWTTAGAGAACTAACTAAACATTAACCAARTAAATAGTTCATTTARAGTCAGTACATTTGTACMAAAATTCGAGAACAATGTCTGAACTTCTTGRTGACCRTAACACGATCTAAAACAATTTATACCCYGTGRYGGCTAGYGCYGAAAAGGTGGATTCATATTGGATTATTCYATATATAGCACAACATAATCCAATCAGAATTCGAGTTTAKAAACAGTTRTTATTTTGAATCCTGAGTCTTTGATTCTCAGAAAAAATTATAGATTTTAATGTTTTAATAAAGAAGCCGTTGATGCAATCTAGGAGGGTACGTTTGAGCAATTTAGACTGTAACAGGCATCCCAGTCACTTTTTAGACAAATTTGATAGGAAATATAGGCTGTGCAAGTTCTAAATATAGGTAAATATAGGATTTTTTCCCAAAGATGTATGCACTTTATAGGAGCTAAGATAGCTTTTCGGTGACGTAACCAGGGATCGGGAGGGTGCACAGGCAATGATTTGCAGAACTAAAAAGCAATAACAAAAAAATCAGAACCAAAAAAAAAAAGGGCCATTTTATCTCCTTCGCCAAATATGCTAAACAGTGTAAAATATAAATGAATCACTCAGCAGTTGTCCTATTTATAGGAAATATAGGAGGTTTTCTTTAAATATAGGCTCTTTATAGGATCCTATACAAATTATAGGAAATATAGGATATATAGGAGGTCTGGGATGCCTGCTGTAAAATCAAAGATTTACGTTGATAAAAAAAATGTTCTTTATAATCAAAGTCCACATCTTTGTTTCATAAATTAAAACAAATTAAGACATAGTGCAACTACTCCAGACTGTCCTAATCTTGGTTTGACATCTTGACAACTCTCCAGTCCTTAATGGCCTAATGCACTGTTCTTATCATTGTTTGTGAAATACATGTTTCAACATGTTYCAAATTGGTTCTCTATGTGGTGTGAATAATGAAAGGCACTGAAGATTGGATTTCAGTCCTCATACAGTGCGGAATGCTATCTGTAGATTCTATACATTCTA